AATGATCTGTACGCTTCACTTTTCCATTTAAACAAGAGAATACCGCCAATAACATTCATCACCCCATGAAGAGAATGTAAGAATCCTGTTTCCTACAGTGGCTAGTTTTCTTTGATTTTGGTGGAAATAGCACTCCTGCTTGCTATTTTTTTTATATGTGGCCAGGGTCTAAGGCAGTGTTTCTCAACCTTGGCAGCTTTAAGGGGTGTGGACTTCAACTCCCAGAATTCCCCAGCGTTCCACGGGATGCCATAAACACATTCAGAGTGCTTTCTTTCATTTGGGGCATTCTATGGTGTACCTTAAAAAAATGGAAGCAGACTCATTCAACTGTGAGTTTCCAAGTGAGTTTCTTTCTATTCCCTTTCTTCTGAAATCAGATAAATAGCCAATAAATTATTTCCATTTTTGGTGCTCCTGTTTTCTCCCTTGCAGTCTAGCCCACTTTGCCAGCCGTCAGATTCCTGCCATTAGCTTCCCAAATGTCCTCCCACCATTTCATTGGGCTCTCCTTGCTTTTTTTTTAAAAAAAAATGCTATTAATTCTACCCTTTTCTCAAGAACAGTTGTTAGAACAAGCGTGTCAATCTGCATGCCAAAAGGTTGCTATGTTATTTCATCATTATTTTCCTTCTGTAAGAGAAGGGTTATAAAATAAACTGTGATGTATTTGTAATATTCATGCCCTCAGTTTGACAGACTTTCTCCTCGCTTTGTTGAAGCACAGCGGCATAATTTGCCGGGTTGCACTTCGCACTTCTAGAAAAGATCCCTTCTTTTGCATATTGGTTCGACTGGAGACTCGTGGGGGCTCATATATATGTTTGAAAAACGGGCCACTGAGTAATGCTTTGTATGTGCTGCTGTGCCAGCTGAACTGGCAGTTGCATTTCAAAAAATCAAGAGGCAAGGATCAAGTGTAATTTCGCTGCACCCACAGATTCGCCAGATTAAAAATCAGAGAATCATCATCTATCTTCCACTCTCCTATTGTGGTAGAAGATAAGTCGGTTGCTGTTTCTCTGGCTTCTTCCCACCCAACCCTCCTGTTCAGTTCTCGCCCTCCCCCTTGCTGAATAAAGGCTCCTATTATAGCCTGCTGAGACATTCAGTAGAAGGTGTTGATAGAGAGCACATAAAGATTTCTTTTGGTTTGCATTTTCAAGCAAATTGACCCAGTCCACATAGGTCAGATGTATGTGTAGATTGGAATGGATTTTGCCTTTCAGATTTCGCTCCTCTGAATTTTATGATCATCTTCTTGGATCAGAAGAATAAGCCAAAAGTATTTAAAAATAAAAGTTAAAGTTGTCTTCAAGTCCTATATGACTCCTGATGATTACATAGATAAGACCATATAGTTTTCTTGGAAATTACATGGAAGTGATTTGCTTATTGATTTGCCAGCCTAGCCTACTGCCCTGGGATTTTCTGGAGATTTCTGGTCCAAGTATAATCCAGCACCAAATCTGCTTAGCTTTTTCAACATTAGCTAAGGTCCTTGGAAGTTGTATGCAATTTCTAGCTGCCAAATGTAGTAATGACTCAGCTTTGATTCTGTCTTTCCTAGATTAAATGAATTAAAAAAAAAATCTCTAGCTGCTTTCAAGTTCATTATCAAGTTCAGAGTTCCTATCCATTGAATTGTTCTGTTCATTCAATTTTTTTTAATGCATTCTAGTTTAGACTCTGGAAAGAGTACTATATCTTTGATGTCCCTCCTTGGCAGATCCTTGCCCTGTGATAGAGCAGGGAGGGACAGAAAAAGATACGGCCTGAATCACGTCTGGCCCTGGCTTAACCACCACTGATCTCAGATGCATTTAGCACAGTAAATGATTACACACAGATAGGGAAGACATGCATCTCTCAACAGAAAATATTCTTCCCTCCATCCTTAAGAACAGCTTTGAAGGCTGCACTCCAAATATGAGAAGTACGAGTGGCAAGCCCTTTTAGATACTGGTACAAAGAACATCCCTGTGGCCATCTCCAAAGAAAAAAATTGCAATTTTTTTCCCCTGAAGATTTTAGCACTCTCATGAAAGAAATGGGTGGTTACCTTTTATTAAAGAAATATTTCCTTCCTCATCCCTTCTATTTCCTTCTGTTCCTTTTTCTTTAATGTTTACAGTAATTCTGTGCAATTTGGATGAAGGACAGGTGACAAATTATGCTGCTCCACTATACTTCAAAATTCAATGAAAATTATAAAAGGAGCTGGAATGATACCCTTCAATTCATGTCAAAAGGCATTTTGATTCTATAAGCGATCTATTTTAATCCAGTATAAAATGATTTTGGCATATGCTTGTTTTCCTGCTAGAAAAACCTTGCAAATATGAGGAGAGATTCCCAAGGCAGTTACTTACAAGCAACCATCCACCGAGGCAGAGATTGCTAGCCTCCCTGTCCCCTAAGATGAAATCTCCAAAGAGCCCATCTGACAGTCTGACTTCTCCCCAGGCTTCAAGAGGTGCAAATTCAACATGAAACGTTTCTTCTTTTGCATCTTGCTTTAAGTGCTTTTCTTCCACACTTTCTCTTTAAATCTAGAAAGCAAGCCACCATAACCTCAGGAGAAAGGAATGCACCAAAATATTTGAGTACCTGGCAGAGAGAAAAAGGGGGGAAAGGTTTTGCAGAAGTGGAGTTAAATCTGTGAAAGCTGAAGGAGGTGCAATGAATACACGCAACCAACTTCTGCCAACTTCAACTAAGGGAACTCACACCGTCCTTCCCAACGTGGTGCTTGCTAGAGGTTTTGGACTTCAACCACCATCTTCATTGACTAGTATCCATGTTAGTAAGGGATGATGGGTAGGGTACTCTAAAACATCAGGAGGGCACAATGTTGGGGAAGGTTGACTTGTGGAGTCCTTGGGGTTCTCTGAGCTTGGTTGTTTTCTTGCAGGCGTTTCATT